GAACTGATCGCTTTCTACAATAACAAAATAGTTATATACTAGCCATGTTTTCTTTCTGTGAAAATGCTGTAGGACTCCAGGAATTTTTGAAGCTGAACATGCTCAAAAGATGCCTAAAGCATTTCGCTTTGATCATTCGACTGTCCGCCGAGTGAAACGGTTCCTCGCTAAAGAAAACCAAAGTTCCACGACACAGGAGCGGGATTCTCTAAAAAGCGAAGCTCGGTGATTAGACGTAGGGATTGCTCCTTCTACGGTCCAGCGAGTTAGACTCGTTCTTCACCATAAGGAATAAAGCATGCTGCGAGAGTGCACAGTGTCCGGGTAGACGGACCGGCGGGACGTAGCCATTGTCCCTTCCTGTGGAGGTTTCCCTATGAGGTCTTTAAGAGTTTGTAGGCCAGTCCTAATAAAATATCTCTCCCTCTTTTCTCTAAGTTATCTATGTTTTGAAGCCTTGAAGCTTGATCCGCCTGATCCACTTTCCACTGTGAATTTGCCAAAGAAAGCTGGCCGACATATTGGAGGGACTCTCGGGTCATGGATGAAAGAGCTATCCGGTTTCATCTCTAGTAGCCAAAGCACTTACTATCTCTTTTTTCTATCTCGGCTTCGATCGTTGAACTTTCTTTCTATTCGGCCTCCCCAAAAAACCAGTTTCGAGAACCCCCGGAATATCCCAACATCTTTATTCCATAAGTTTAGTTCTTCCACCCAATACTTATTCCGCTAAGAGGGATTCTATAAGACCTTGTTGACATGTCAAAAGTGGGAATCGTGTCACTTTCTAGTGCTAGTGCCGGTTCAAGTGAAAGTTATACAGCAAGTCTCAAGTGCCTTCCTGTTCTAGTTCCTTCTTTACTTCACTGCTTCCCCGGGACTCGATTTTGACTCGCCTTTCTTTATGATATGTTTTCAGCTCCAGACCAATAGTGGGACCTAAAAAAAAACTGTTCCCTTACCGAGGCCCCTATTCCTTCCTAACCCTCTCTACTCTTTTATTTCGGTTCCTCTCCCTCACCCAAACCCCTCAACTGCCCTTTCCTGCGAAAGGATTCTCCCCTGCTAACTATGAGGATTCCTCCCCTTTCCTTTCATCGAGACTTTGGGGGACCATCATTGTTTGAAAGAGGCATCTACTCCTTTCTCTGAAGGATCAACATAGCTAAATCATTCCACTGAGGGCTTGAGGTAGTCTTCTAAAAGAAGATGAGGGTATATACCTGATGTGCCATGTTTGCAGAATGAGAAGCCCCGAGATGTTCAATCTTCTGAAGGATAGCAGACATCAATTGCTTAAGAGTCTCTAGAGTAATAGGACCTTACTCAGAAGGAACAGCAGAAGAGAGAGAAGCACAGCACCCTGGCAACTCTGGTCCAGGAGATCCATGATCCTCCAAAGATGGAGGAGTTTATGAGGTAGCAACATTGGACTGAGGACGTGTCCAACATTTTTCAATAGTGTGGCCATGGCGCTTGCAATATCGGCAAAATGGGCTATTTCGCCCGTTCCTCCTCTTCCTGAATGTATACTTTGAGTCAAATCTGATGTACCCTTGCCTCAACATCTGGCACCACATAAGAATGGAAAAAAAAATCCCGCAATAAATACAAGGAATGAAGTTTACGAAAGGAGTCTCTAAAAAGTTTCGTCGCAATAGACGAAGCGAGACGCGAGAGAGCATCGAGTGGTTTACTTGAAGCAGCGAGTGAACGAGTGGACCGTGGCGAGTGGGCCTAGCTTTTTGTAAGTCGCGAGCCGTATCGGAAAAAGTAGTACTGCGAGACAGCGAATGAGACAGCATCCGAGTCTCGCTTAGTCGTGAGCGCTCACCGGGCGGACTGAGTTGGTAAAGACACAAAAGTTCCGAAGGAACAAGCCGTGAAGGTAGGTTCGCGAGCAATCATCATACGAAAATGAACCAACCTACAACTTCGTTTGCCGGAACCACTAGCGCTTATTTCGGGAGATCCGGGAAGCTACCTAAATGGAGAGCCCACGCCTGCAGGGTGGTTAATTCGCCGGGTTCGCCTCGTTAGGGAAGAAAAATGCGCATGAAGAAGCGGCTGTTTGATAAAGCGGATGCAGATGCGCTAAGGATGAATGAAGCAAAGATAGATCTGCTATGCGCTTGTTTCTGGGGTCGGTCCGAATTCAACTATGTCGGGGAAAGGCTTGTAGTCTTTGGCTGCCGGCTGGCAACGAAGCTCGTCGAGGAGGATGGTCGGAGACCGGCATCACAATATGGGGGACTTTGGGGGCGCCTATCAAACTCTTCACTGATACGACTATCGATGACCAAGTGAGTCAGTCTTTGAGTGAGAAGGGGGCCATGTGGAAGATAGGCTCCGTGCAGATAGAGAGAAGGGGCGGAAGGTGAAGAGGTGGAGGTCGGTAAGCGAACTGAAAGAAATAGCTAAAGGGAGGTAGGTTTTATGCCTCATAAGGTCCTTCTTTCGGTCAGGTCAAGGGAGGCCAGTTCCATTCAGACAGAAAAGAATGCATTGCCCTCTTAGAGAGGAGCAGGTCCGGGCTATCCTTTTCATTCTCAGTCCTTGGGCGATTCAGTCCAAAGAGGAAAGGCCAAAGGTAGTGCGGGTGACCCCGTTCTTTAGGTATTGGCCCAAGTCGTTAATCGGAGTAGGACTACCGGTGATTCCACCTTGGAACGAGCAAGCTATCTTCTTACGGGGTGGCGGCGGGCTATTAGCTCAGGGGCGGTGGTAACCCACTGGCTTACCGCTCGCATTCGACTGGACTGAGAATTGTGTATATAAAGAAAGGACTTGCTTTCTTGCTACTATCATCGTATTAGAAGACAAACTGGGTTTCATTGATAGCTATGCTTAGCGGTGACTTTTTAGTTTTTCAACTTATCCCAAAGAGTTCTGGCGGAAAACGCCAGCCACAGAATTTCGCCAAAGAAGTCAGGCGTAAACCAAGACTTCATTAAGTCCCGCTCACCGTAAAACAGTGAAAAAAAAAGCGGGCAGAGCTAGTAATAGATTGAATTTAGGCCAATGACCAAAGATGATCCTAAACTTATAACTGCCGTAGAGCAAAAAGCCAACGAAGCAATTGAAGATATCTTATCCAAAAAAAAGGCGGCTCTCGGAGATGGACAGGAGGTCTCCGAAGTTCGTGAAGCGGTAGAACAGGACTTTAACATCACAACTAAAGGGGAAGAATTCACATTAATCAAACAGATGGAAATGGAAGCGGGAGCGCCGCAAAAGGCTTGCCCCGCAACCAACTCCACGTTGAATGAAATAAAGGATCATCAAAGTCAAAAAGTAGATGGGAGGGGAGGGGGGAACCCTCAAGACGAGGTACCTAAAGAAGGAACGTCTTCTGAATCTAAGAAGAGAGAGGGAGATAGCAAAAATGATGATGATCCCCCTTCCTCTGCACAAGAGTCTTTCTCTAGTGCACTAGACTCTTTTTTCGATTAAAGCAAATATGCTTTTGGTTGTACATTTTTCTCCCATGTTTTCCGTTGGTCTCCGTAAGTAACTCAGTGAGTTCTTTCTAAGAAGGGCTTGGAAAAAGAAAATGAAATACGAACAACCGCGCTGGTCGTAATAGATCGACTTTCATGCTAGTTCTTGCTCCAGCATGAAAGTTCCTTTTCAGGGAAGGACGACGTACCATGATACTTTCTGTTTTGTCGAGCCCAGCTTTGGTCTCTGGTTTGATGGTTGCACGTGCTAAAAATCCGGTACATTCCGTTTTGTTTCCCATCCTAGTCTTTCGCGACACTTCAGGTTTACTTCTTTTGTTAGGTCTCGACTTCTCCGCTATGATCTTCCCAGTAGTTCATATAGGAGCTATAGCCGTTTCATTCCTATTCGTTGTTATGATGTTCCATATTCAAATAGCGGAGATTCACGAAGAAGTCTTGCGCTATTTACCAGTGAGTGGTATTATTGGACTCATCTTTTGGTGGGAAATGTTCTTCATTTTAGATAATGAAACCATTCCATTACTACCAACCCAAAGAAATACGACCTCTCTGAGATATACGGTTTATGCCGGAAAGGTACGAAGTTGGACTAATTTGGAAACATTGGGCAATTTACTTTATACCTACTATTCTGTCTGGTTTTTGGTTCCTAGTCTTATTTTATTAGTAGCCATGATTGGGGCTATAGTACTGACTATGCATAGGACTACTAAGGTGAAAAGACAGGATGTATTCCGACGAAATGCTATTGATTTTAGGAGGACTATAATGAGGAGGACGACAGACCCACTCACGATCGACTAAAAGGGCAAGTCGCACGGAGATATTGGTTCAAATCCAATTCGTGAGATGGCAGTGATCTTTAGCTGGTCATGGCCATAATGTGCTGTTTTCCTCGGATTCATGGGAACCTTCTTTTTCTTTTCAGAAACCTCAGGAAAGGTCGTGTTTAAATAGAAAAAAGGCAGCTCGACGACGACAGGGCTCTATTTGTAGAAAAGTGGTAGCTGTATGGACACTTTCCTGTCTTGAATACGTCTTGTGGTTCCACCAGAACCTCTGGCTTCTATTAAAATGAGGAGGGAGTTGGTTTACACTCGACTATGGTCTAAACCTTACCAGTGGTTAGATAAGGTATAACAGCCGAAGTTAACCCACGGCAGGTATCGCATATGGGCTTTAGTTTCTTGTTACTCCATCCCTGCGATATCCGGTGTGGTTATAAGCTTAAATACAGAGGGAAAGCGCACCGGAGCGCCTTGTCCCACTCTTATGATTACGGAGTGACTGGTGGACGCCACCACGGGGTATGAAGCCCTGCCCTGTCCTTCATGGACGGATAAATGGGCTACAACCAAATCCGCATGGCACCAGAAGATGAGGAACTCACTTCCTTCAGGACATCTAAAGAAGTCTATTGCTAGAAAGTAATGCCTTTTTGACTCTCGAATGCTGGGGCTACGCAACTTTTTTTAGGGGGGCCATGACTCTCATATTCGGAGACATCCTTCACGACATTATCGAGTGCTATGTCGATGATTTCGTCGTCAAAACAAAACGGAGGGCTGACCATCTGAAAGACCTGCAGAAGATCTTTGATCGACTCCGGAAACATCAACTTAAGATGAACCCGCTCAAATGTGCGTGCGGGGTCACGTCTTAAAAATTCCCCGGATTTGTAGTTAGACACAGGAGAATTGAAATCGACCCAACTAAAATCAGGGCCATCCTCGAGATGCTGCCTCCGAAGAACATCCGAGAGTTGAAAAGCCTACAGGGGAGACTTGCCTATATCCTAAGGTTTATATCCAATCTCGAAGGGAGGTGTCAGCCATTCTCTAATAGGGAAAGGACTACTCTTTGAATGGGATAAAGCTTGCCCTTTCGACAGCATCAAAGCATATCTGATGAAACCCCCAGTCCTTATGAGCCCGAACGGAGAAAAGCAGTCCGATCCGAAGAAAGCCGGGATCGGCATAGTCTTCCTGACACCGGACAAAGCCCTTATTCCCTACTCCTTTGCTTTGACAGAAGAATGCTTCAATAACGAGGTCGAATACGAGTCCGTGATCGCAGAACTTGAGTTAGCCTTACAGATCCCGATTGAAGAACTGACAATATACGGGGACTCGGAATTGATCGTAAAACAACTCCGAGGAGAATATGTGGTGAGAAAAAAAAAGTAAGTCTCGTACCCTACCATAAAAGGGCAGACTACAACATGTCCCAATTCCTGAGGGTTAATATCTTCCACGTTCGGAGAGGGGTGAACGCTCAAGCAGACTCGCTCGCAAGCTTGGCAGCTTCTTTGATTCTCCCGTCTGAAAAGACTGTGACTATCACGAGCAGAGAACGAAGGGTCTTGCCAACCCCTACGCGAAATCACCCAGGCGGAGCCAGTTAACATGATAACTGCTAAAGAAGGCAAGGAAGATTGTCGAGAACCCTTCTAAACTGCCTCCAGCACGGAGGCTACCTGAAGACCGAGCAAAACGGGTCTAAGTACGAGGACGCGCGACCAAGTGCATCATGTGGAAGGATGCCCTCTATAAGCGATCGCTTGATGGGATCTATATGAGGTGCATAGCAAAAGAACGGATACCCGGAGCAATGCAAGAGGTCCACGCGGGCGGGGCACGCCAAACGGGAAAAAATTACAAATGAAGCTCAAAAGACTAGGATATAGGATATTACTGGCCAACCATGATATCCGACTGCATTGAATACGCCAAAAGCTGCAAGGTCTGCAAGTACCACGCAGACTATATTCACCAGCCTCCGGAACCATTGCACGTCACAACATGCTCATGGCCATTTGCCACCTGGGGGATGGACATCATCGGAGCCTTCACGCCACCGTCGTCAGCAGGGCATCAGTCTTTATTGGCCGCTACCGACTATTTCTCTAAGTGGGCCGAAGCGATTGCTGTAAATGATTTCAAAAGCACAACGGTGTCCGAGTTCATACGAACCCACATTATCTACCGGTTCGGAATTCCAGACAGCATCATCTCCGATAACGAGCAACCCTTCATAAGTAGCTTCCTCTACCGGTTGTATGCCAAATACAATATCAAGTCAAAAACCTTTCTTCAAGATACTACGCCGCCGGCTAGCAGAAGCGTTCAACAAAACTCTGTGAAAAATCATGAAGATGACAAAAAAAAAGAAAGATTGGCATGAGTGGCTCCCGGAGGCCTTGTGGGCATACCGAACTACGTGTCGGACTCCGGCTCAAGCGACACCATACTCGTTGGTCTTCGGAAGAGAGGAAGTTTTGCCCCTCGAAGTTCAAATACCCTCTTTGCGGGTAGCAATCCAGGAATCCCTCACTGAAGAGGAAAGCGCCATAATCCGACTCGCGGAGCTCGAAACTCTCGATGAAAGGAGGTTTCAAGTGCAGCAGAACTTGGAGATCTATCAACAAAGGATGGCCTTCAACAAACGGGTCAGACTACGCTCTTTCAAGAAGGGAGACTTAGTCCTCATGGTACGAACGCCGATTATTATCAACCGACGGACCGGGGGAAAGTTAGAGCCTAAATGGGAAGGCCCCTACGTCATCGAAAAAGTCTACTCAAATGGAGCATACCTGCTCATCACCATGGACGACGAACAAATCATTCCTCCTACAAAGACTCGATTCCTGAAAAATAAAAGACTACCCTTTCAGAAAAACGCTCCCTGATACGAGCCTAAACCTTCCCCCCATTATGTAATACTCCTGGCCCGCACGAGCATAAACTGTTCACGGCAAAACCAAGTCTCCAAAGTTTCATCAATGATGCTCCTACTCCACGAGTCACCATAGCTTCGCCTACGCCACTTGTATATAGACAACAATAGTGCCCAAGATCTTCCCTTCGCGTAGCTTCATTGAACCTTCCAACTTCACTCCGTGGCCTGTGCTAAAGAAGCGTGTCTTAACTAATTCCTTTGAACTTTTTTCACCTATTGTACCTCTCGATATCTCCCCACCTTGCACTTTTTCTTTTTTTTTTTTCTCATGTCGTGGAAGTGCAGCAGTGCTCCTTCATTCTTGTATCTGAAAGGCCTTTTACAATATAATATCCC